TGAATTTGATTTTGAGCCTAGGTGGCATGCCAGCCCTGCGAATTGTGGCACTGTTGGCATTCCTGACAGGTGCTTCTGGGGCTTCTGAACTTAATTTTAGAAGTATAAGAATTTATTTTCTTACAGAATATTTGTAGCTTTTCTTCATTTCCATCTAAAAAGATTTTGGTTCATGATAGTAACAGCTCAGTTATCTATTGCTGCATAAGAAAACATCTCCAAACTTAAGAGACCAAAATAAGAAGTTGTTTTAATTTCCTCATAATTCTCTGGGTCAGCAATGCATTTTTGGTGTAGCAGGAATGGTTTTCCTTTGTAGCCAGTCAGTGATGCAGCTGTAGTTTCTCAACTGAACTGGATGATCTAGCCAGACTTTCTCATATGTCTCCTAGTTGCTTCTGCCAGTGGACTCCCTAGTGCCTTATATGGGCTTCATCATATTGTGCCTAGGACCCAAAAACATTAAGAAAAAAAGTTAGCCCGCTTGTGTAGGTGCCTGTGAAACCTCTGCCTTTTCACAGCTGCTAATACAGCAGCACAGAGATGCATCAATCCTATAGTCCATATAGTTTTGCTTGTTATTTTGAAATAGTCCAAATTTGAAATTTGTCTTGAGGTTGTTCAGTGCCAGTATTATATTTCTTTTGTGGATTACTTTCTTGGAGTCATTAAACAGCAACAACAAATCCCCAGCTCCCTCTTTGATCTTTTTCTTCCCAGTTTCCATACACATTCACCCACACACATCCCCCATACATAATAGTTTTAAGTGTTTCAGTAAATGTCACTTTTTAAAAAAATATAATTTTTCATTTATCACTAAATGAAAGCCTGCTTAATCTTTATTTTATCCTTTAAGTTCTTAATAAGGAAGTCTAAGATTCTTAATTTGTAGGTTAGAAAATCTGGTCGTATTTACCTAACAGATTGAAAGAACGCTGTTGGATATAGTGAGTCAGGTCTGTTTCCTCCAACTACCAGTATTACATGTGGTTACTGACTGGCTGGTAGGATATGTTGCTTGAGCCGCCTTCCTAGAAGAATGTTTGGGGAACCACATTTTCTCATTGGCCTTTCCCTAGGATCACTGACAGAATATTACTTAATTTGATTGCAACAGGAATTTGTTTTTCTACTCTACATATAACCACATGCTCAGAACCAGAAAAAAAGAGGCTGGATAAGAAGTTGTTCAGTTAATTGTGATAAGCATCATTGGGCTTCCTTCTCTTCCTCAGCTTACTTAAACAATGGGATCAGTTGTGAAAAACTAATATGGGGGTCTGGAGAGATGGCTCAATGAGTACTCACTGTTTTTCTAGAGGGCCACAGTTTGATTCCTAGCACCCACATGAGTTGACTCACAACTACTTTTAACTTCAGCTCCAGGGGATTGGAGTCCTTCTGGCCTCTGTGATCACCTGCACTCATGTGCACACCCCCATACATATAATTAAAAATAAAATCTTAAAAAGAGTAATTTTTAATTTCTTAGAGCTTTATGCTAATATGCTCCTATGATTTGTATTTTTTAGAAAGTATAAAAAGCTAATTACATGACCTTCATAAAGTCCTAATGCCAAAATAAATGAATATTTAAGTTTTTTTGTTAATTTCCTTAAGTATTAAATACTAGTTTGTCCTGATTTCTGAAAAGTACAGAATGCTTACTATTCCAGCAATGTAAATTGGTTTTCTATGTCAAGAAAGAGTTCATAGAGTGATAGCAGATATTGAGAAAGCAAAATGTTCTTGGTTTTTATTGAAGATTTCATTCTTCTAGTCTATAAATATTTAAGAGTAGCTCTTATGTTGTTGCTGTGCTAAGACCAGAAATGTTGTGTAAAATACTTGAAATATCTGCCTTTAGAGAGAAAGTGTAAATTTTGTAAGCATATAATATTTAAATAATTGTATTGATATTAAAATTATGAGTTATGTAATTTCACTGAAAAGTTAGTTTGTACTGCATTTGTAGAGTGAAGAATAATGGAGAATTAACAAGAAAAAATAAGGAAGTTGGGTTCTTCTCATTTTTTTTGCCAACCTCTTATTATTTTATCTTTGATTTTTTGAAATACAACTTTTTCAAAAAGTATAGGTATCTTTATTTTTAAAGCATATTTCAAATGAAATAGTTGTTCTTAACAGTATTATGTCACTCCTATCTAGCATCCTGTTGTTACTCTTATTTGGTTAACACAGCAAAGGTCTGTACATAACTTCTGTTTGCTAGAATATAATTTATTTTTGACAACATGTCATTAACATTTATTGAGCACTTAATGCCAGACCCGATTTTAAGCATCTAACATGCTTTGTCTTACTGAGCCTCAGATGTACACTGTGAGGTAGAAGTGTTTTACTACTTCAAAATGGTGGTTCTGAGAGATGGGATGGTTTACCTAAGGTTATATGCTAGTGAATGAGAGACCTGAAAATTGAATCCAGACAGTCTTAATGTCAGAGCTTGTGGGACTGGAGAGATGGCTCAGCAGTTAAGGGCGCTGGATGCTCTTGCAGAGGACCCAGGTTGGATTCTCAGCACACACATGATGACTAACAACCATCTGTAACTAGGGTTCCAGGGGATCCGGTGCCCTTTTCTGGCCTCCGTGGGCATTGTACAACATGAATGCACTTAGACATATGTTGGCAATACGCTCATACACATAAAATTTTAAGAAACTCCAGGCAATCATCTACTTTCAGTTTCTGTAGGATAAGTTTTGATTTGCTCCATACAAACTGGAATACAGTGGGTCTTCCTTTTTTTATATGTGACTTACCATGAAGATTTTAAGATTCATTAGTGTTGTTACATTGATCAAAGGTTGTTCTTTTTCATAGTTGAATAGTATGCTGACGTAACTGTATACCACAATTCCTTCTTCCCTTCACCTGCTGATAGATACTTGTTTTCAGATTTGCATTTTTACAGATCTACTGTGAACATTTAAGTAAGTCCTGTATGAACTGATCTTTTCCTTTTTCTTAAGTAAATACCTAGGGATGCAATTGATAATCACACTATTAGTTTATATTTAACATCTTTAGAATCTCCAGAAATTACACCTGAAAAGTATTTAGTTCATTTTACAGAATGCTAGCCTCATATATAGTACATAAAACATGTAGTATATACTTTTTTTTAAATTGGAGAATTTCTGAATTCAAAAACCTGTCTGTTCATAAGGTTTTCAAAAAAGTTGATGTGACTTCTACTGCCTTGTGAAATAGCCAAGTACAAGCTGAACATTCCTAATCCAGATGTCTGAACTATGAATGCTCTGAAGTATGAAACTATGAGTACCCACATGACAACAAATAGAAAACTCCACAGTGAATCTTATGTGACAGGTTGGAGTCGATTATGTAGACACACACACACACACACACACACACACGCACACAAAACCCACAAAATTACCTTCAGGTAATATGTGAAAGGCATATATGAGACATAAATCAGTTTTGGGCTTAGGCTTGTTTCCCAACTGTATTAGTCAGGGTTCTCCAAAGAAACAGAACCAGTAGAATGAATATGTATAGAGATTTATCAGCTTAGCTCACAGGATAGAGTCCGAGTAGTCCAACAATGGCTGCACCACACTGGAGAGGCTGAGAATCCGTAGTCGCTCAGTCCACAAGGCTGGATGTCTCAGTAGTCCCAATCTGGTGCTGAAGGTCTGACAAATTCCAAAATATCAGCTAGTCTTCAGTCTACAGCAGCAAGACGAACTCACCAGCGACAGAGAAGGCAAGCCGCAGAAAAGCCCCGCGTTCTCCTCTGCCTTGGTCTTTTATACCAGCTGCCATCAGAAGGTAACGCCCAAATTTAGGGTGTGTCTTCCAGCTTTAGATGATCCAATCAAGAAGATCTCTTTCATTTCAGTTAATCTCAGATCTAATCAAGTTGACACCCAGGATTAGCCATCACACCAACCCTAAAGTATCTTATTATTTATACGCTGTTATTTCAAAATCTGAAAGAAAACCTTGAAATCCATAGCACTTTTAGTCCCAAGGATTTCAGAAAGTAGCTACTCAAGCTGTACTATAGAATGATTTTGGGGGCTGGAGAGATGGCTCAGCAGGTAAGAACACTGATTGTTCTTGCAGAAGACCCAGGTTTGAATCACAGCACCTACAAGGCAGCTAACAACTGTCTGTAACTCCAGTTCCAGGGGATCCAACAGTCTCTTCTGTCCTCCGCGGGCATTGCACGATACAGGTGCACTTACCTACATGCAGGCAATACACACATACATGTGGAGTAAAAGCAATAAATAAAATATGAAAAAAATGTTTAAAAATGACTTGGATAATTCAATAGGTGTTTATATACTTTGTTATAATAAATTTATATAGATCCTTTAGAAAGAGTACATGTTACTATATAAAACGTTCTAAAATACAAATGCTGAAATCTTAATTGTCTAAAGGAATATTAACGTTAAAAAGGAGTGAGAATAGGAGCTGCATGGCATTGTTTGAAAACATGTTTTCATACTGCAAACTCTTTGTAATGAAACTGTGCTAATGAGAACAGCAATATTCAGGTGGAATTCTGAATATTCCATCCTGCCCAGTACCTAGCATTAGGTGCTGATATATGTAGTCTAGCAGTGACTATTCTCATTACATATTATTTGTGTGTTATAATATGTTTTTACTAGAGGTGAGCATTGGTTTAAAGTTAGATTTGTGATGTATCCTAAGTTACACTGTCGATAATATAGCAAGAATTGCAGCACATCGTAACTTCAAAACCCATTCTTTTTTTATTGTGCCATACTGTTTACTGTAAAGCCTTGTGTTTGCTGTACAAGTTGAATTAGTGTAATTAAATATTAATCACAATGACTAGATGAAACTGATTATTGTATACCAGTTTTGCCTTTTCTAATTGCATATATCATAACTGACTACCTAATAAAGGCACAAAAATTTCTCATGCAGTTTTCTCATTTCCTTTCTGGTTGAATTTTGTCTTGCAGGGTTACATTTTGCCATCTGCCTTTCCAGAGTAAGTGGCTCTATGTGGGCACCGAACGAGGAAATATACATATTGTCAACGTGGAGTCCTTCACCCTCTCAGGCTATGTCATTATGTGGAATAAAGCCATTGAACTGTAAGTTTGAACAAATACTCCATTTCTGAAAGTATCAATATCTTATATCTTTGTATGTACAATATCCAGTTAGTAAATCCATGCGGAGTATGTGTCAGGCATTCTTGATAGTGTATATAGAGATTTATTGGACTTACGTAAGTATTATCCTATTGTCATGAGAGTTGGAAAATTTAACAGTTTGGTACATTCATATACGTGGATAAATCTGTATCATTATACATATTTTCACCAGTGCATAGTTACGTTTATTGCAGTAGTTACTCTTCTTATGTTGAAAACATTCAATTTTTTTCTGTTCTTTTGCCTTCTCATTATTTTTCTTTTAAATCCTTGCCATGGGCCACAAGTGGGTTTTTGCTAGTGTTTAGAGAGCATTGATGTAAACTACTCTTTAGTATTTTCTAATAATCAAGAAATGTAAAGCAAATGTTTGCTAAAATTAATATTTCACCAATATTAACAAAATTGAACTTGTGGTGCCTACAGATCTCTAGTGCAAATTTTTACTTCCTGAAATTTTCTTATATCTTCTCTTTCTGCACATTTTTTCTCATAATGTTTAGATATAAAAATAAAGTTTAAAGCTGTTGGCAAGACTCTTTAGTGAAATGTTTCATTTTGATATAAAAAATCAGTCATCCATTATATGCCACGGTATTTATATCTTTCTGTCATAAGTATAATTTTGTGACATTCACACAATGTATTGGTGTAGCTATCAAAATGTATTTAAATATAGTTTTCCTTCCTCTGCAGGGACATTGTTAACATTCCTTGGAAGTATGAGTTTTCAGTTTGTTCTTTGAGTTGCCCATCTGGTGGGTAGGGCTGATCCAAATCTTCACAGTTTTACTAGAGACGGTCATGGTGTGATTTCTTACCCTGCAGTGTTTATATACAGGGATATGTTTTTTCCTACTGCATGGATATTACTTTAACCATATTCTTATCTATATGTTATCTTTTTTATCACAATATATAGGTGGCATTATTCTCTTGGGTTTAAAGCAATATAATAGAAAATTTCCACTTCTGGTATGAACTGGGAAGTTTGGTAGGATATCCCAATTGACATCTAGTAAATTTTGATATCTTAAGTATTGTGTTGCTTTATTAACTTTGGGAATTTTATATTGAAAGGGGATTTTCTGTGTTCAGATGTTAGAGATTCTTTCCTATATAAAAAGTGTAATTATATACTTGTTGACATAGCCACATGGTACCAATTTTTTTTGTTTTGATCTACATTTTGGAGTGTAGGTCTGTACTTACCAGACTGCTGTCTTCATAAATGAATCTTTATTGATGTTTCATTTTTATTGTAATGAATATGTAGGTTTTTATTATAATGAAATTTTTACCTGAGAAAAAAATCCTTAACTTTTTTCTTTTACAGGTCATCTAAATCTCACCCAGGACCTGTTGTCCATATAAGTGATAATCCCATGGATGAGGGGAAGGTAGATGTTTTTTCTAAACAAACATTTGTTTACTAAAACCATGATGTTTTGACTTAAATATGCAGACTATCCTAGGACTCACTTTTGTCAAAAATTTGAGATTGGAATAACATTTGTATATCATGCACTGAAGGCTGTTTACTCATTTTGAAGAACAAGTGGACGAATCAGAATGATTTCCAATTAAAAGAATAAAAATACTAAAGCAAAAATAAAATTTAATGAATACAAGTAATTTATTTTTGGTTTACACAGAATATTTCCCCTGATGTTCTAATAATGCTGATAATTTGGGGGAATTCTTAACAATTTCAGTTACAGCTTTTGCAGTGCTTGGCCTATATTGCATGATGTCAGAGTTATCTCTGTATCTAACTTTCCTTAATTTATTTTCATAACTAGGTCTAGTTAATAATGTAGATATAATTCCAGAGTTTTGAACTGTTGCTTAATTTTTTTATTCTCTGAATTGAGTTTCTTAACAGCCTGTATCTAGCTATTGTTACTTTAGATTAATAGACTTAAAATAATAAAATTTTCTTGTCAATGAATTTCTGTTTCCTTTCCCAAACTAATCTTTTAGGCAGTTCTATTTAATAATCATCTTTTCCTACCTATGTAATTTTATGACATTAACATGAGTAAGTACCAGGAAGTTTATTGTTGTCAGAAATCACTGATATAAAGCTTCATCTTCTAAAAGGGGTTGACTCAAATGTTACTTCCCTCAACTAGTTAGAAAGGGCAAGTGTATAAATTATTTATACAGTTCTCTTAGCTTGCCACTGGGAAGCAAAAGTATACCTGAGCTATTTGGAATTGACTAATGATCACGGGCTTATATGATTAGAAAGAAACATTGCATAAAACAAATGTAGAATAACATGAATGCTTATTTTCTTTTACACAAGATACTCATTTAAAAGCTAAGCCTCTGGGTGGGAAGCATGTCAAATTAGAAGTTTCTCTTCCACCTGGGGTCATTTCATATTGCCACAGTGGGCGACAACCCGATCCATTCTTGAATCACCCCTGTCAACCTTCCTAGAGTACCATTTTGATCTTAATGTTTTCCTGTTGAAAAGTGTTCTGTGCCTCTGCAGTCTAAGAGAGTGGATAAGTTTTCCTTCTCTTTCACATATGTGTACCAAAATGGCATGCTAATGCCAATAGCTTTCCAAGTACGGACTGCTCCTTGGCCTCTGTGTTTTTGTTTCTGGGAATCTTACTTGCAGAGCTCTCTCACCATTCTGCCAAATTCCCCTCCACACTCTAAGGTCCAAATTAAAAGTGTATCAGATGATGTCTGCCATGATAATTCTGACAGAAAATGCCTTCTCGCACTTCTGCATCCATTAGTACTTCAGCTATGCGTATTTTATGGTGCATATTACAGATTGCCTTTGTTAAAGATGTATCTATATCTCTGCTCCTGAACTATATAGAGAGTTGTTATATGTTATATTCAGTATACCTACTAATTTTCCTTCCTTTTTTGTGGTAGGTGCTGGAGATTGAGCTCAGGGCCTTGCACATGCTAGGCAAGCACTCTACCACCGCTGTAACTATCTCCTGTCTGGTTTTAAATTTTATGAGTGTTTTGCTATGTCATTCAATGCCCATGGAGGCCAGAAGAGGTCATTAAATTCCCTAGAGCTGGAGTTACAGACAGTTAGAGGCCATTGGGTGCTGGGAACCAAACCTGGGTCCTCTGTAAGAGCAACTCGTGCTCTTAACTGCTGAGCCATCTCAGCTACACTCTGGTTGGTTGGTTTTGGCACAGGATCTCATTATGTATCCCAGATTGGTCTGGATCTCAAGATCTCCTGCCTCCAGGCTTCCCAGGTGTTAGGATTTCAAGAGGTTGCCATCATGCTTGATTCCACTTCTGTTTTTTTGTAAGAGAAAAATTATAAGGAAATTAGCAGTACAAAGTAACTTACCTTTCTCTGAGTTATGAAATATTCTAGTAGAAAAAAAATCTTTCTTACAGTTTCATACATGGATATAATACACTTTTATCGCATTTACTCCACATTACCCTTTTCTTATCCCACTCTCTCTGGACCCCTTCCCAACAAGTCCTTCTGCTTTCATGTTTTTTTAGCTTTATTTATTTTTCTAATTACTCACTGGGATTAATTAGGGTTACTTCTATGAACTTGGGTATGTTTTTATTGTAGCTTTGAAAGCTTACTCATGACTGCACAACTGAAGAAAATTGTCTCCTCCTCCCTCAACAGGCTGCCAATAACTGCTCAGGAGGGTTTCCTGTGGCCCTCCTCCATTGGTGCTGGAATGTTGACAGGATAAAGCTTGTGCAGTTAACCACACATAGTGTGAGTTTGTGAGTGCAATGGCCATGTCATGTCCAGAACACAGTGTTCTTTTCCTTCTTCTGGCTCTTACGTTCATTGAGTTTTCCCATGATGTTCCCTGATCTTTGGAGGAGGGGGTGGTAATATTAATGTCCCTTTTAGGGCAAAGCAATAAATAGTCACTCTCAGCACTTTGAGATCAGTTAAGAGTCTGCATTAACTGCTTACTGTCCTCTATGAAAAGAAGCTTTCTATTAGGAATAAATCCTGAGGAGATTTTTCCAAGTATAATATTTTGACTTAGTTTCTTATTTTAATTATCTTGCTTTTGTAAAGAAGGGTATTGAAAAACTCTGATCCACTCACCTGGAGCTAGAGCTGGGGTTCCTGTCCTGTGAACTGGAGCTGTGATCCTCTCCTGTGAACCTGCACCTGAGGACCCCTCCCTTGAACCTGTAGCTCCAGTCCCTTCCAGTGAGCTAGAATTGTGGTCCCCACCTTTGAATCTGTAGCTGTGGTCCCCTCCTATGAACCTGGAGTTGTGGTCCTCTCTTACAAGCTAGAGCTATGGTCTATCCTCATGAAGTGGACCCCTCTTGTGAGCTGGAGTTGTGATGTCTTTTGATGAACCTGGACCTATGGTCCCCTCCTATGAGCTGGAACTGTTGTTCTGTCCTGGGAGTTGGAGCTGTGCCCACCCCTCCCATCCCCATGAGCCAGAGTTGTGGTCCCTTCCTGTGAGTTGGACCTATGGTTCCCTCACATGAGCCTGAAGCTTTGAACCCCCACCGTGACCCACAGCTCCCTAGGGGTAGGCTATGGTGTTTCACAGCCCTCTTTTCCTTCTTCTGGCTCTTAAGGTCGTGGAGTTTTTCCCACAATGTTCCCTGATGTTCCACGGTGGTACACAGTAGAACATGGAAGACTTCCTGACTTTGGGCAGCAGTTTCAGTCTTCTCTGAATGACTACATTCCCTCTAAGTTCTCTCTCCTGAGGTCCCAAGTTGTGCATGGCAGAGGTTTTGCCCTTTCTGGTGGAGACAGAGGAGACCTCAGTTATTTGCACTTTCTGGGCTTGGAAGGACTGGCTATCTGGATCAGACCTCCCACTACCATGAGGCCCAGCTGTGGTCCTCACTCCACACGTGGTCCTAGGTATCCAGGCCTTGATGTTGGACCTCTCTCATTCCCAGGCACCAAGAGGTTTTCTGTTATTTTTCTGTTTCTCTTCTGCAGCCCCAGTGTGCCTTCACCTGTGTCCTACTTGAACATACAGAGATAAAAAGTCAGTCTGGGAAGTTAAAAAATAAAGAAGGAAATAGAAAGCACTGTAATAACTAAACTAATACAATCTTCAAACTATAAACATGTAATTATATCATAGAATATAAATTCAAAATTCTTTATTTCTACTATAATTTTAAAATATTGTTTACGACAAAACTGTACAACCAAGCTTCAATAATAATTTGAAATTTACCACTCTTCCTATAATGTTAGTTTGCCTCTGTCTTTTTTTTCGGTTTTATCTCTTTTTTTAAGTTTAAGAAAAATTATTGAGAATTTCATGCATGCATATAAGGTGTTTTGATCAAATCCACACCCACTCCCTCCCCTCCAACTCCTCCCATATCTCCCCCATCACTTTTCTGATAACTTCATGTACTCTTTCTTCTTCTTTTATTTATTTATTTATTTTTTTAGTGGGGCTTTTGGCTACTCTAACATTCCCCCCTCTGAAGAGATAGCCCTAAAATCTTTTAGGGATTAGATAAAAGCTCCCAAAAACTTTTGACATTTTTGGCTTTTGGAAGAGAGTATGTTGCTAAGAGGCCCAAGGACATTTTGAATTTTAGCCAAGAAACTGGCTACATTTCTTTGGGGTCTTTTTACACTAACTGCCTAGCCAATTCCTACCTCCTATTCTTATCACACCATCCTCTGACGAGGTTACCCAAATTGCCAATAGGGAATCAGGGCGTAGACTGCTCTGGCTTCTTCCATGCTGAACAAGGACGCAAGGTGAGGCAATTGGTGTACCCCTTCAGTGGGTCAAGCTCCCAAATTGCATAATTCCTAAATCTTTATTGAATTTTTGTGTATTTCATACATAAAATCATCTTTATAACCTTAGATTATTAAAATACAGATAGGCATGATTAATTCCTTAAAGTTACATGTCTACTAAGTAACACTTTTACAACTGGAGCTGGAGCTTTTGATCTATTTCATCTTGCACTGTTGTTCATGGTACATCAATTTGTAAATTATTTTTTTCTTTCCTTTTTCTTTGTTGCTGGATTTCCTTTCTTACTGTATCATTTGTCCAAGACATTTGGATCTTGGAAGTATTGGGAAAGAAAAGGGGAAAGGAAACCACTGTGGTTTTCCCAGAAGAACATACTTTACCTGTGCTAGCTAGTATGCAGCTCGCTGTCTCCTTTTCATTCAGTTCAGGACCTCAACTCATCTAGAATGGCTGCCCGCATTTCACATGGGTCTTCCCACTGTAGTTAACCTAATCAAAATAACCCCTCATAGGCATACCCGGAGGCTTTCTTTGGTGAGTCTCCATCCTATCAAATTGACAGTCAATGTTAACCATCACACTGGGGCAAGATTGTGGGGCAGCAGATGGGCAGTGCATAGTTTGTGAGGCAAGAACATATCAGGCTGTGTGTCTTTTGTTAAAGGTATTATAGTGAACAAATGTTTGTTCTTGCTCAATGAACTAGTACAGTCTGTGAGAGAATTCAAGTAAGGAAAAGACTGTATGACTATGAGATAATCCTTTAGACTAAAGAATAGAATGCTATTAGAGTGTATTAGAAAGTCATTGACTTAACATTTGCTACCTCAAGGAAGCCTTCCCAAAGAACGTGGTTGCCAAGACCACATCTGAAGGGTGAGTGGGACTAGTTAGAGGATGCCATTCAAATGGCATGCCCAGACAGGAGGAACAGCATGTGCAGAAGCTCAAAGATGAGTGCACAGAGAAAACCCCAGATCTAGAGAATGGAGTGTATTGGGTGGGAGAGGGATAAGGTATATTAGAGAGGTCAGCAGCAATCAGTGATGAATTCTATAGCCATGGAATGAGTTGAAGTTTTATCCTCAAAAGAATTGTGAAACTTCAGATTTTAAATAGAAGCATATATCAGTTTGCATTTCATAACTGATAATCCAACTACAATGTGGAGTGGGTTAAAGTTGGAACAAGGCTAGATTCAAGTGGACCAGAAAAGAGACCTTTGTATCTTTCATGAGGAGAAAGGTACTAGAGATTTTTACAGACAAATGAGAAAGACATAGAACATAATCTTAAATTTAGATGATCGTTGTCCCTCTTAAGGGAGCAGCTAGCTAGCGTTCATGGTAACTCAAGCTTTTTGACTTAGATGTGGTGATAACACTGCAGTGAAGGTTGCCAGCAGGACACAGAGGGTAGCAGTACCCTCAGCATCATTACTTTGTAGTTCTAATGTGTATTAAGTAGTGGTATGGTTATTGGAATTATGAGTCTGAACCTCATGAATAGATTTGGGATGGTGATTCTTTGAAATTAATATGTAGAGTGAAATTCCTTAGTAATGTATAGCTCTTGGAAAGATGTTAATATTGGAAGTACATACAAGTGTTCATTTTTATTAGATACTTTTAGAACGTATCAGTGAGGATGTGTACTTGGGACTTCAGACAGTACTGCTCTTTTTAGCATCACTTGTATTTTGCATCCTTGATCATCAGAGGCATGTGCACACTCCCTGAAGTGCTCTCCTTTGTTGTCTGTGATTAGTAACTCTCAATGCAGGTATTTAATTACAGTACAGTTTTATGCTTGAAGAATATGAATGATGATTAACTTTATTGTCATATTTTATAGAATAGATAAATCATTCCTAGGGAATGTGGCTTTTTTTTCACAGCTTTTGATTGGCTTTGAATCTGGAACAGTAGTGTTATGGGACCTCAAGTCAAAGAAAGCTGACTACAGATACACATATGACGAGGTAACCACATGTGTTTTAATTAGTTCTCTTGCCGGTTATGTCACTCACAGCAGCTTCCCAAGAACTTAATTTTCACTTTTAGCTTAGATTTGATCTTAGGTTAGTTACAAAGTTTTTTGTAATTTCTCCAAAACACAGTTTTTCTTCCATTAATAATATGCTCACAGAGATTTCCTCTTTTAGGAATTAGGGCAGATAGTGTGTTAATTGGTGTCATTCATCAGTGAACCTCCTCAGTCTGGAGTTCTCCTTGTAGGATACGTTTTCATTACAAATACAGTTATTCAGTAACTATAGAAATTCTCACTTATTTTGATACTTTTAAAGAATATAGTTTTGTTATTTCTCTATGATTAGATTTCAGGCTTTACTGTTTGGTAGTCTTATCACAATAAAAGGTGTATTTTCTCTTTTTTAAGACAGGGTCTCCCTGTAGTTCCAGCTGACCTAGAGCTTGTTATGTAGGCTAGGTAGGCCCAATCGTACAGAGATCCACCCACCTCTGCCTCTTGAGTGCTGAGATTAAAGGTGCTAATATGCCTTTACCGTTTTTTTTTAATACTTTAGTTTTGTTTTAGCTTCTTAACACTGCTCATATTTTCTAGAAATAATTCCACCTTTAATAAACACTAAAGGATTGCCTATTTTAAGACTAAGGTTTTGCAGTGTCATTTTTCATTTTGTTAGAGATACTTTGAATCACAAACATTGTATTATATGTTGGCCTTCAGAGACACAGCCAGTTCTCTGTACATATCATTATTTAATTTTTTCATCTGATCTGTATTAAAATATTGTATAATTTTATGTTAAATATTGTATAATTTTATGTTAAATTTGTAAGTGCACAAAAAAACAAATAAGCAGACATTGAATTAATTGAAAAGGATGACTGTGTATGTATAATAAAAATTGTTTCTTGATTTTCAGTTGAATGTTTTCTTGCTGTGCTGTGCAATTCTGATAGCTCATCAGGGTAGCTTTGAAAGTCAGTTAAGCATTAAGAATGATACTACATCTATGTGACTTGAACACAAGTACTTCAAAGCAGACCTTGGGAACTGATTTTTAAAAATAAAATTTTACAGATAAATAGTAATTTATAGCAAAAAGGGAGGAGTAACACAAGTCAGTAATATGAAACATTTTTAGATAATGGGCCAGAAGTATAATATTCTGATCAAAAGAGGGTTGTCTTGCATTAAAAATTGCCTCCATAATTATTTCACTGTATTGGAGACATGTCTTAATGTTTGCCCTGAGATGTATTTATTGATCTTAATCACAAATACATATTTTAACTTTAAGATTAATTTTTAACTCATTTTTTAAAACTTACTGATCTATCAGCATAACTAATTTCTTCAATCTGGTATCATTTGTAACATTATGTTTTAGTATGATTTATTCTGTTAAGTTCTAAGAATACTGTTTTCCAAAACTTGTCTATAAATAGTAGATATGTCATGAAAGCTTCTTAATGCTGGCTTATGAACTCCAATAATTAAGAGGAATTAAGGCAGTTTCGATATGCAATATATTTGTATTGCAAGAGGACTAACCTGTTTTGAGAATGTAGTTAATATATTTCCTTTAGCTCGCAAAGTATAAAAACATTTATTAAAATCAGTTACCAAACCATTTATGGTAAGTTTGATGATAGAATTCTTCACTCTTTTCTAGGCTATTCACTCTGTGGCTTGGCATCATGAAGGAAAACAATTTATTTGCAGTCATTCAGATGGTACTTTGACCATATGGAATGTGAGGTCTCCTACTAAGCCTGTACAGACAATCACACCTCATGGTAAGGTTGCCTCAATTTTAAAGACAACCTAAATTGTAATGGACAATGGACAGTTTTGTTTGTGTTTGCATTTGGATTTGTTTGGTTGGTTTTAATGAATGAATATCATGGTGGTTTCATGTATTGAATGCTATAGTATTTTCTAAATATAATTTCTTCATTGCCTGAAAAGCAGATAGTTTTGTGAGCAATAAGACTTTAAGATTTTGTCATCTTAAAACTGTCACAAACTCAGGCATGGTGGCACAAACCTTTAGTCCAGCACTCGGGAGGCAGGAATAGGCAGATCTCTGATTTTGAGGCCAGTCTGATCTACATAGCAAATTCCAGGTCAGCCCTGGCTATATAGTAAGACCCTCACTATCTCAAAACAAGCAAAGAAATAACAAAAGCTCCCACAAAACAATCTCAAGTTGTTACTGTATATGTAACAGTGTAGTTGAAACAGTTGGACTTCACTAGGAAGACTCATAGGACCCAGCATACAGTCCTATTCCTGCAGTGGTTTATTTTATCAGAAGACTGAAAAGCAGTCACGAAAGGGAAAAGGCACATGGATGAGGCTAAGGAAATCAAATGCTTGCTCCAAGAGTCCTTTCCTCCCGAGTCACACAAAACAAACGACCTTCACTGCTCTAGCTGCGAGCTGAAACTGCATATGTGAAACACTGTGTATAAAGCAGCTCTCGGGGCCTAGGACTCCAGGATCCTTTTGTGGGATTGCAGGGTCCAATCATGTGAGCATCCTCTGTTTTAGCAGGTATCAAAACTTCAGGACTCTTGAAAGGTAAATACATTGAGCACGGTTACATTTCTGTGTGCAGTTTAGACACAGTGAGTCACTCTCATCAATCAGGACACAGTAGGAGCTATCTTGAAAGCCAAGTTTCTAAGCACCAACCAGAAGCTACCTTTGAAAGCAGATCATCCTAGGGATAGTGGACTTGGGCCTCAGTGCCAGCTCTTTTCTGCACAAGTGGCATTTGAAAACCCTGTAAGAAATTATTATAAACAGTCTTTTTTGTTTTGGAGTTTTCATTCCTTACTAATCTGCATTTTTCACCTTAAACCCAAGAGAGTCCTTTATGCTAAGTTTAGATAAATCATACTAAGGGACATGACTATAATCTGACAGTTCTGAAGACTATCCTTAAAGCTTTATATCCCTTTGCTTACTTTAAAATATAAATACCTACTTTTGAAAAATTTATACATTCTGAAGAATTGCAATGTAGAATTTAAAGAAACAGTAAAATTGAAAACATACTTATGGGTGTATTGATATACACCTGTATTTAAGCACTCAGCAGGCTGATGCAGGGAATCATGAGTTGGAGACCAACCTGGGCTGTATAGCAGTACCCTATCTCAAATAAACAAAGGAGCAATGAACAAAATCTAGGGTTTTTCTTTCTGTGGCAGTTTTCTGGGAAGAATCACCATTCTCGAGATCACTTATGGGGATGTACTCTACCACTGCTCAGTGATAGCAGTCATATTTCAGAAAAGCACCTTTTGACCGTGTCTAGGATAGCCCTTAGGGTGACTGTTCCTGTCTTTCTCCATCTGTATTGGTTCTTTCAGTTTTGTTATTTGATTCTCTGATGTGGTTGGTACTCAAGAAAATTCCCATACATCTTAGAATCACTCAACCACTAGAGCTTATGAATCTAGAAAACCAATAGGAATAACCTCTCATTTCATAAGAAAACGGAAGTACAAGTACATGCTCTATCAAAGGTGGTAGAAATTTGTAAGACTGGTGTTTCATCTTGAAATTTATGTTTTTATTTTTATTATTTTTTGAGAAAGGTCTTCAAATTATATGTACCTCAGGGTGGCCAGGTGGGCTTCAGATTTTATGTACCTCAGAGTGACCTTGAACTCATGATCCCCCTGCCATCTCCTCTGAAAGTCTGGAATTACAGGAGTAGTAGAGCTCTTACCTAGTACGTGTAAGGCCTCCTGGATTTGATCCCTAATCCCTACAAAAGGAAAGGAAAGGAAAGGGGAGGGGAGGGGAGGGGAGGGGAGGGGGAGAAAGCAGAAGAAAAGAAAATGTTGTGCCAGGGGAATTTTTTTTAAACCATTTGAGTATAATTTGAAGACATGGTACCCAGTCATCTTCAGGTATTGGTTTGTTTATTTCTGTGAGAAATAAGCACATTTTCAGACCAAGAGACTGAATTAGATTAGGTGCAGTGTTTCTACAGTCCTTTAAACTGGAATGGTTCTGGAGTCTTCTCCTGACTTTCACACATGATAAATTATAAAAATTTCTGGTCATTTATTTTGTGCCATTTGTCTCCCTATGGTTTTTGTCTGATATTTCTTCGTAATTAGATTCAGGTTGGCACTGTTCAGCGATCATACCCTAATACGACTGATGTACGTGGGTTTTGCATTTGTTAGCCCCATATTGGTACTATCTTGTGCTGGTGTCATTTATTAAGGTTTTATGTGCTATATATCTGTTATAAAGTTACACTTTTTCTCTTTGAACTTAAAAAGCATTTTTTATTTGTAATTTGAAGCCATAATTCTGATTTGACAGGTTTTAGTGCATCTCATTCCTCATGAGATTTTTTACTCTCTACTGTAAGCTTCTGTTGATGTTTCTTGGATGAATTAGACCTATAAGTGTAATGTTGCCAAATGAAGGCTTTCTATTTAGTCTTGATTTTATACATACACTGACTGTAAGATCTTTAGAACAGATGTGAGGAGGTGATGTAGATCACTTCCTAGAATGTTTGTCGTCTCTTACAGAGAAGAGCCACCAGCTGAACTCATTGCTATGCCAGTAAGGCAAAGAGTATTTGATCGACTGTGTTTTCTCAAAGTTAGAATCAAAAAAAAAAAAAAAAAAAGGAAATGAAATGAAAAAAAAGTGAACTTTTCCTCCTGTGGTGCATGTTAAGAAATAGGGTAACATTTTTTTTTTCTGGTTTTTGAGACGGGATCTTCCTGTAACTTCAGCTGGCCTGGAACTCACTATGTAGACCAGGATGGCCTCCATTATGTAGAGATCTGCCTACCTCTGCCTCCTGAGTGCTGGAATTAAAGGTGTGTATCAGCATACTGAGCTAAGATATAGGGTAGTTTTTGTTGAACAATACAGCAATCTAAATGTGGATGGTCCTAATTTTATTGCACATTTACTTTTATTTCTATAAAATAATGTTTTATATAAATAACCAAAATTTATAGGCAATGATATCATTTCACAGGTTTCTTGTTTTCTGCTGGCTTCTTAGCTCACTAAGAATAGTGAGTTCTACAGCAGAGCCAAGTCCATTGCACTACATTACAGTCCACATGTGTGTTTTGCATACCACAATAAAATGTCATTCCATATTTACTATATTTGTGATGCAGAGTTTTCAGAATACCAGCCCCTTCTTTTGATCAAATGAAACTTAGCCCTTTTTTTCTTCATATGGTCTTCTGCTGTGACTTCTTGCTCATAATTTTTAGCCCAATTTTTTGTTTATTAAATTTTTTAAATACAGTATACTTTTGAATTTTTCTGCATTATTGTTTAGTTGTACAGGTACCTTAGTCTTAAGAAACCATTTAAAATGTTCCCTTGCTAGTAATAATATTAGTGCTATTGCTATTAGTGCTTTCATGTGGCTTAGTTTTGATGCCATGTTTATGTTTTAAAAGATTCATGAATTGTTTTTCTTATGATTATGTGGGTTGAATCCAGGGCATCTTGTTTGTTAACCAAGCACTCTGCCAACTGAACTGCATTCTCAGTCCTGATGTTAATGCATTTTGAAAAATGTGTTCAGAAGGTATGACATCCGCCTAATGTGAGATTTTAAATAAGAAAGCTTGTCAGTTAATATCTCTGAGCCTCTTGTTCTTATCTATAACTAGAGATAATAGTGAAACAATCATCTTTTCATGCTGTTCTGAGAATTACATTTTTTATTCAGCTAATATTTATTGGCTTTACTATATGTAAATGAGAATAACTAGAAATTAGGATGTGCTGTGTGCCTATGTGAGTCTAGTAAATAGAATCTGGGAATTCTTCTTTACTCGGTAGGATGGTTTAATATTCCCTCCAAATGTAATTCTATATCACAAGTATGTGTATCTATTTTTAAAAATACACATTTTTTATTTTATGTCTATGCCTGCATGTATGTGAGCACAGCCATGTCAGACAGTGCCCATGGAGGTCAGAAGAGGATGTGGGATCCCTTGCAACTAGAGTTACAGTTGTTATCTGCCATGTAGGTGCTGGGAACTGAACCCAGGTCCTCTGCAAGAGCAGCCAGTACTCAACTGTACAGCCATGTCTCCAACCCCTTATTTTTTCTTATTTTAGTTGTTTGATATTAGAATCATATCAAGGTCAAAGGAGCTTTAGGAGTGTAAAGTTGAATATTTTTCTTCATGACAAGACACAGCAGACAATTTTTGGTATCTAAACTAAGCTAAAGTAATACCTCTTCCTTATGGTTCTTATGAATATCAAAACATATTGTTCTTGCAGTCAGACAATGAAACCTATTTCCAGCTTTTGTATATGTGAAACACTTTGTCAAGGGCCTGGGGAGATGGCTCAGTGAACAAGCATTTGCTTTTCAAGTGGGAGGACAGAGTTTAGATCGCCCACATCCATGTAAAAATCCAGGATAGGTATGGCAACACCTGTAATTTTAGTGCTCAGGAGGCAGAGACAGGAGATACCTGGAGCAAGTTGGTTAGCTAAGGTAGTTGAAGTTAGGGTCTCAGACCCTGCCTTACTTTAGAAAGTCTACAGCCATTAAGGAAGGCACCTATATCAGCTTTAGGCCCCCACATCCTAAATATATGTACATATATATACGTACATGCATGTATCCACATTCATGTGAACATGAATAGATACATATATACCTATGCCACACACATACACATAAGTACTTTGTGAAAATAATGTATATTCCAGAGCTTATTAGTTGTAAAATGACAGGAATGAATGAGTTATGGTAACAAGTGTG